GCCGGCGATATCAGGCGACGGCTCAGCGAAACGATAAACGCCCCGAAGACGGGTTTCGCGCGATGTCCTGAAGACCCTTCAGCCGCCGCACTGAAGGAGCCCTGGGATGAAAAGGTGGCCCGAATTCGCGAGTCGTCGCCCTTCGGACACCTCTCCAACTGGAAACTGTTGGCCGCTATCGTCAAGTGCGGCGACGACTTGCGTCAGGAGCTGATGGCCTACCAGTTATTGGCGGCGCTGCAGAAAATCTGGGAACAGGAAAGGGTTCCCCTTTGGCTGAAACCCTATAAAATACTGGTGACCTCTGCGGAGAGCGGGCTCATCGAAGCCATACTCAATACGGTGTCTTTGCATCAAATCAAAAAACACTGCAAACTGTCTATAATTGAGTACTTCATCAAAGAGTTCGGTTCGCAGACCAGCGAAGAGTTTCTGACAGCACAACGAAATTTCGTTCAAAGCTGTGCCGCCTATTGTATTGTCTCGTATTTAGTTCAAGTGAAGGACAGGTATGTCATGAGTCATGAGAATTGGTTTAGTTTATGAATTGTTATTTTGCGTCCACAGACACAACGGCAATATATTACTCGACTCTGAGGGCCATATAATTCATATCGATTTCGGTTTCATTTTATCCAATTCTCCCAAAAATCTTGGTTTCGAGAGCTCTCCCTTCAAATTGACGCAAGAATTCGTTGACGTAAATGACTATACAATACAAATGATATCATATATTAATTCATGTGTTTTATTGTATGCGACCGACAGGTGATGGGAGGACTGGGCAGTGATATGTTTGAATACTTCAAGATTCTGATACTACAGGGGCTGATAGCGGCCCGTAAGCACAACGAGCGGATCGTGACACTGGTCGAGATACTACAGGCCAACTCACAACTGCCCTGTTTTACTAACGGCGCCTCCACTGTGAAGGCGTTGAGGGAACGCTTCCATATGGGACTCACCGAAGAACAGCTCCAACTGCAGGTCGACTCTATGGTCGAGTCATCTATGCATTCGCTCACAACTAAACTATACGACGGCTTTCAATACCTGACGAATGGCATCCTTTGATCCATTTCCACGTCTTTCTCATTACCATTGAACTAATTATTCATTTCTATTCATATTTCAGCAAATTATAGATTCTTATTATTATATTACTGTATATTGTATTATATTATATATATATAAACGCGTTTTGCGTACAAATTGTGTTTATGGATAAAGTATTTCATTAAATTTTATATGCAATTCAATGGCTATTCAATGATCATATATTTGATTGGTTTAAGACTAGACAGCAGTGAGACGTACAGCTTGTTAATGAGGATGTGGTTGATCCCCAAACCGAGCGTACGGCGCGAATATCGGGAATCTATTGAATTGATCGGAAGTTATATATCTATTAATTGGTGCCATAAGGGGCACAAACCCTTCAACTGTTACTGTTATGTTATTTGTGAACAATATTTAATTGTGTTTCCAAGTGTTGAATGCATTGCAAATGAATAGATTTGATGATTGTATTTCAATTATTGTATGGTATTGTGCGCTCATTTCAGTGATAGGACCAGTGATTAGGTGGTGATGTGTTGATGTGTTAATTGTGCACATATCACATATGACACTGCAAGGCGGCATATTAGACACTGTGTTCAGAGTGCGGTAGTGTTGCCAATGTGTGAGTGACTCAATGTGTTGTGAGTGGAGAGCCAATGGAGGCGTTGTCTGTGAGACAGTCAGTGAGACAGTCATACGGTGTGTAACAGTGTTTACATAGGATTGCATTGATTTGAATGAATTGAGTGAATGTCACAACAAATCACTTTATGTGAGCATCTGTTGTGAGAGTGAATGGGAAGCGCTTCACCACTAATACCAGCCATTCGTGTCATTCGTGTCGTACATTCATAGCTCACTATACACTCCAATGTGTCAGTGATTTGTGACCCAAACCAAGTGATCAATCAATCAGTGGTCATAATCGTGGTCTCATTGGTAGCATTGGTGACAGTGAGCGGTAAGCGATGCCCGCCTTAATCGGTGTCAACGAGTTTGTGTCGGAAACCAAGGATGACATCAACTCTCCCACCACCTCGTCGTTTGTCTCGCGAATGGCTCACTGCAGACAAATGGTGTCCACTCTCGAGGAAGTATGTTATGTCTTGTACTATGATTTGATAGGAAATGATGGCTCGAATTGGTTGTGTCTGTCGAGTGGTGACAGTTGTGGACACTCGCGGACACTGACTGCCAATGAG